TGTCCATTAAGTCCTTTAGGCTATTATTCGTGAGCTTTGGAATGCTCTAAATCGATTTTACAAAGGATATCACAGCTATAATTAATACTCCTTTAAAATTATTAACTGTTTCCATTATCCAAATTGAATCTTCAATTTACACGTTAATTAAAATAAACATGAAGGTTTATATACTGGCAGTTAATTTGCGTCATAAATAGTCATTTGCCTTATGAGGCCATCAGCGACATTCCACTAATGTACCATTTTCAATAAGCGCATCGTAGTCGTGTATTCTACAACACGTTTCCTCTCTGGCGCCGATACACGGTGCTGATAAAAGACATAAGAATCTCAAAAAAGTACATCTAAAATAGCACCTTATGACGATAAGAATAAGGCTGTATATAATATAAAATAAACAGGAATAATAAGATGCTCATAATGTCAATAGGGACAATGAGTTTAATCGAAGGTAGATCACGAGAGCCAAGTGTAGAAAAGTGCCAATTTAAATAATTTTATTACTTTTGTCTGTGTAACACATAAGGCGGCGAATAAATGCTGTTTTTTTACGAGTTCAGCATACATATATTCATGATAATAAAAAAGTAAACAAGGCGTGAATGAAATGTTTAGAATTAAGTCACGCAGGTGCATAATATTGAAATATAAATTGTGTTTTTTTTATTGTATGTTATGGCGGCATATTCAGATTACATATTTTATGTATAGTGTAAAGTTAATCTTGCCTACGGGCATATAGAATTGTCAGACACGAAATTCCGTCTGGACCGAAATAGCTGAAATAACTTGGTGCTTAAATAGCATTTGGATGTTTAGACACAACAAAGTTGAATGTTGAGATGATCCTGAATTCTTGTGGTAATAAATTATTGTAGTTCATACTGATTCAGTTAAAATTTAAATATAGTTATCAATTTGTTTGTTTTTGATGCTGTTTAATTTAAGAAATATACATTAATAATTACAATTCAAAATTATGAACTATACATAGGTATGTGCTTATTAAAATTATAAACACTAGCTGATCCGGCAAACGTTGTTTTGCCATAAAAAAGAATAGGGATTGGTGATAAAAAAGTAAACATTTTGCGTTGTATGTATTTTTTAATGCTACATGATAAAAAAAATAAAAACAAAAAGTTTTGTTCGAAAATAAAAAAATATATAAATTAAGGGTGACCAACCCTTATGACTTAGGGGTATGAAAAATTGATGTTGGCCGATTCTCAGACTTTTTTTTTTTTTTTTTTTATAATATAGGGGGCAACCGAGCAGGCTAGCAATCCGATGGTAGATGATTACCGCCGCCCATGAACACTCGAGCCAGAAGGCACCAGAGCGCGTTGCCGGCCTTTGAGAAAAAGGTACACTCTCTTCTTGAAGCACCCTAAGTTGTAGTGTATTGGAAATATGTCGCGAGGCAGCTGATTCCATAGGATGGTGGTGCGTGGCAGAAAGTTTCTTTTGAAACGCACTGTGGTTGACTGCCAGCTGTCAAGGTGGTGCGGATGGTAATGCAACCTGTGACGTGCAGTGCGGTGGTGGAACTCAGCTGCAGGCAGTAGCCCAAACAGCTCCTCAGAGCATTCCCCGTAGTAAAGGCGGTAGAAGACGCTAAGAGAAGCAACGTCTCTCCGCAGGGCTAGAGTATCAAGCCGATTGGTAAGAACGGTATCGTCGACCATTCGAGTTGCACGATGTTGGATTCGGTCAAATGGAAGAAGTTGGCACTGGGGCGCTCCAGCCCAGAGGTGGGAGCAGTACTCCATGTGAGGTCTAACCTGCGCCTTATAAAGCGTCAGGCGTTGGCCCGAAGTGAAGTACCGCCCCGCTCTGCGAAGTACGCCAAGTTTTTGTGATGCCAACCTGGCCTTATCTTCCAAGTGACTACGAAACTGTACATCACTCGAAATGGTGACACCCAGAATACCAATACTGGTTGTAGGTTTAAGGGAATTGCCCTGGAACCGAGCTGTTACTACAAAGGGTGCTTTTTTGGCGGTGAACGCGCAGACTTGTGTCTTTGTAGGGTTAAATGTAACCAGATTGGTTTGGCCCCAGGATGATACTTGATCGAGTAAGGATAAGACTTGCTCAATAACTAACAAATGTTCACAAAATGCTCAATATGCTCACAAAATCAAAATCGGTCCAGCCGTTTCGGAGGAGTTCTCTGTCTAACACCGCGTCACGAGAATTTTATATATAAGATAACGCATACTATAAACGAAACTTTCATCAAATGCATGCATGCATAAGAATTGAAATGTGTTACTTACAATCAAACAATCTTATACATCCTATTTATGATCCTAAAACCTAAAACTTCGTTCAGCATCTGGAACGAATGCTATTTATTCGTGTAGACGTAATTACCGTCTCCATCAACTATCAAGTATATTCCTGACGGACACATGAAAAGGGACACATTCACATCCGCGCAGCCTACATCGGCCAGACACATCGAATAAATGCCAAGTAATTTAAATCCATCTTTGAAATCCGGTGGGTGGTTCGCCATCAATCTAGAAACTGGGATACGTTAGTCGGTTTAAAACGTTGCATTGGATTTGAAACATTTATTCGTTTTACTTTTGTTTCTCAACAACTAGTATATTGTTCGCTGTCCGTTCAAATATAACTTTGGATAATAATGACAGTTATATTATAATTTATACGAATCTAAGGGATTTTCATACTACATCACAATTACTAGTGCTATACCAAAAATTGGTAGAACGCGAAATAATGCGAATAAATCGAGTCCATTCATCAGTACATAATTAAAGCTGAAGAAAGTTAAAGTGTAAAGATAAAGTTGTGGAAGGTCAAAAGTGAGTACGTTCATAAATTTTAAATGATTTATCCGTGCGTATTCATTGCAGCTGTAAAATATATAAATTTATTTACGATTCCAGCTACAATAATTACAAGAACCATGACTTAACGGTACCTGAACTGTTTCAAGAGTTTAGAACGTGCTTTAAAACTACGAAGATTTTATTACTTCAACGAATATAATATGAATGTATGAGATTTCTGTACATGTGATCGATTTTATACACATTTAAAAGATTTCAGTTCAATCGACTTGTTTCATTCGATCATTAGAAGTACATCATATAAATATGTATATTTATTGACAAGAGAAAGGCTTAGTATTTGTTACCAGCCATTAATACTGTCTAAACACCAAACTGGTTATATTATTATGAAGTTTATGTCAGATATTGCTGTTACGGAAGGAAGAAACATTTTCTCACCATCATGTATCTAATGATTTTACTTTCATACAGTATTTATACACCGGTAGCCATATTCATGTATGTTATGTATTTTATCGTCTGTATAATTTCATATGTATCTGACTTTTACAATGGAGAAAATGAAAAAATATGTACATTTAAATGTACTCTAGTATTTTATGAAATAATTTCATTGTTTACTGATCAATTTTGATAAGTGATAACAATCTTTCGTTACAGTCAGTATAATTGTGTATTATATCATAATCTGATGAAGAAGGTATAAAATAAAGAGAAACTAATCTTTAAATTATCAATAAATTTCTCTTTTATATTGATAATTTTAAACAGTGAAATGTTTATTGAATGTACATATACATGTACTTTATAATATACTCGTTTATTTTCAAAGAATATATCTTTGAATGTTTTGAATTCATTTGAATTCATTCAACTTTATTTCAGTCTACATTCATATAGTTCTATTTTCATCTCAACAAAAAATACTCCGACCATCTTATAACATGAAGAACAACATACTCTGCTGTGTTGATTCAATACGAACAGCGTTTGTTTTTAGTTTACACATAATAAAGCTACAAATGAAAAGTTCAAATATGGCTACCGGATTATTTGCATCACTCTGTTTGGAGAAACATGAGGAGAAAATGTATTGATATGTTTTTCTCGCCGTGGGCGCCGAACTTGTATTTTACTGGTCTTAAAAAATGTGAGCTATTTTAAGAAAAAAGAAAGTTAAATATCAATGTCTTTGTTAATTTCTCCGCATCAAAATATTTTTGGCTGAATATATAAAAGACCTTGTATTAGTGTTATAAAAATAGTAATGTTCTAAAATATTGCACATGTAAATAAAACAATAAAATCTGTATAAAATTGTATTTACACTTCATACAAAACAGCATTGAGTTAAACAATAAGAATTCGAAATTGTTAGACAACTATAAAATGTCAACAAGAATTTAAATTTCGAACAAACAAAACGGTAAATAGTAACCGTTCTATGAATTATACCTCCGTACTACAAACTAGACTGTTCCATTTTCAAAAACCAAAAAGTATTTATACTTTTTTTTCTTTTTTAATGGTTTTGTTACATTTAAATTACAAAAAGTTTTATTTCATTTTTTATATAGCACAAAAATATTGTTTTAAATATTGATATCTTATTTATTAAAAAGTATTCACAAATATACAAATCCTTGCTTTAAAGGTGGGTTAAACATCTTGATGTTACATTCATAACACATCATGGATACTTTTATAAATATTAATGCAAAAGCAAGGTTTTATTACAAAGACATAGTTAATATTATTGTATGGAAAATCCGCTAAAATATTAAATTGGACTTTTATTTAAGGCACACCTCACTACATCAAAAACCGCTTATAATACATACAATTCATAGTTACAATAAACAATATACAGGATGTATAATTTTCAGCGAAAACATATTTTCCGCTTCAATAAAAAATAGAACATTATCAGAAATATATAACATACGTATATACGCTCAAGTTTTAATACAAATATTACTTAAAAATTCAGTCTTTAATTACAATTCCAACGTCGATAGCCCCAAATTAAACGTGGCATCTCTCATACTTACTTTCTCTAGTAAGTATTAATTCCTTTCCGTTCCACCTCCAGGAACTTCAAGCTTCTCAAAGAAAGAACAAACTCCTCTTGGAGTGAAGAAGACCAAAAATTTTATACATATAAGCACTTCATATGCTGAGTGAAGGACGTTTCTTTCTTACGCTCTTGTTGCTAAGACCGAGGATTGAACCAATTACCTGTGTACAAAACAGTAAAAAATTACCAATATATTTTAATTTAATTAATATTCTAGCAATTAATTTTAATAACACAGAATTATATCTCGCTAACCTTAATATTTTCGCGTTTGACCTATAAAGACATTTATTTAAACATATCGGTATATCAAACAACAAAATAATTTCAAAGACATTAATTTTTTAGCTAATGATGTAATAAAATAGGCAAAGAAAACATTCAACACTATGACTATTTGTATTGTATGTCACTCTATATTATCGATATAGGACTATTTGTTTACGAACTTTATCTCGTTTCGTTGTCCCTACTTCAATAGTGTAAGTGACTGTCGTTAAAGGACCATTTGTTTACAAACTTTATCTTGTTTCGTTGTCCCTACTTCAATAGTGTAAGTGTCTCTGTCGTACCTTAGAGACGGAGTAAGCGGCCAGTTTCCTCCTGGGCGCTGGTAGTAAGAGTGCCAACGCTCGCGCCTCTCTAAGCAGAGCGTGGAAGGCGAGGGCGGCGCCAGCACAGGACTCCGCTGCAGACACTTCATAGAACTGACATCCGAAACGCAACGACAGCTCTTGACCCTCCTCGGTTTTGACAACCCTGATTTAAATTTAACCAACTTTAAATAAAGTCATATTCTGTATGTGTCCTCGCTTTTTAATATAAATTTATTTTGATAAAATTTTCCGTACTTAAAATATATAAAGGAATAAAAACAGCCTATATTTTAATATATAAATAATCAAATAAAAATTTCTTTTACATATTTATTTCACTTAAAAGGATTTTATTATACCTAATATATGATAATATATACACGGATACATAAATTTATTAAAGGTGATATATATAAAATTCTTATTTGCATACATCAAAGTGGGACATAGCTTATAACTTATTTGTTTACATAACATTAAATGTCCAATATAACATGACCCTCAACACCTTGACACTACCGTAGAAGACTTAATCGACTTTAAAATAGATCATACAATATGTTTTTATAAAGAAACTTTCCATTCGTACTAGAGATTCAAAGTATGCGATGTCTTGGTATGTTATCTCTAAAATTCTCGAGATTAAAATAGCATTATAGAAATGCATGAAAGTGGCGCCACAGTCATTCCCACAACGTCCACGTCGCCATAACGCGGTGTGGCGACTTGTAGTAAAAGTGGCGTAACAACATAATACGCCATAACAGTTATAGCAATACACTAGTGTCATTATGTCAACATTTATATATACAACCGGTAACCAGACTTTAAGTGTTTTTGAAATTAAATTAAGCTTTATAATATAGTTATGGTTATATATTATTATTATTATCATTGCCGTCTTTATGTTCGTGTAAAATAGATATCGATAAATGCACTACCGGTATATTTCAATCATATATCGGTTTTAAGTTCTAAATACAAAATCTTACCTGGCATGTTCTAAGTCCCTTTTGTTTCCCAGTAGCGTAACGGCTGCACAGCCAGGCAGTCTGGTCCTTTCCAGGAGTGCCAATAATTCGGCTGCAGCCAGAAAAGATCGCCGGTCGCAAACTGAATAAACCACAGCAAACGCGTCGCCCCAACGTAAATGTTCAGGTAGACAACCTCTTTTCTGTTATAAGAAATTGAAATAAGAATACATTTTTTGTTTTTGTTTTTTTTTTTATCAAAGATGATATTAAGTTTATTACCGCACATCCACAAGTATCTAAAACTTCTACTTCTGATGTTACACCGTCGAAGGAAACTCGGTGGTTGTATAAAAAATCTAAAAAAAAAAAACAAAGGTTTTACTTACAATTATACGTGGAACAAATAAAATATATGTATATATTTTTTATACAGTTCTTTAATGAATAAAACTATATATGTAAATAAAATTTGGCGGATTAATTTCTTATTTATGCTGTACTTTCAAGTAACGTCTTCAATTAATCTGTAATCGCCCTTGAGAACTCGGAGATGTGAATCTCAATAAAAACGGAGCATTACATAAATCACGAGCAAGCGAAATTGTGATGTAAGATTATAGTATATTTTTTTAAAGATTCCACAACGCCACGACGAATTAGAGGCGCCTTTGGGTACCAGCCTTGGATATCATGATACACTTGCCAATTTCGCAAATAAACCATTGGCATCCACCACTTGGCAGACGATAAGGGCTTGTTTTATGATAAAGTCACTTTTAACACATTTAATTAACTTAATTAAAGACGACATTATTAAAAACAACACACAAATTTAACATCAAATTAAATTATTATATCTTCAACAACATTAGCATTATGTAGACAAATACTAACTTTTCTTTTACTATGGATAAAAAAAAAATGGCTTTTTAATTAATCCGAAGTAAACACTTTCACGTATAAGTAATATTTTTCTATTTTTATAAAATACTTGATAGGAATAGAAAGCGATTACTCACCACCAGTTGAACTGTACTCTCCGATGTATCTTTTAGTTAGGTAACGGACTACAACGGCTGGAAAAAAATAATAATACTTTAAATAGATAACAAGCAATGACATGTAAGATTGCGAAGGAGAAAGCAATTAGCGACTTATCAGTAGAAGGTGCTAGAAGTTTTCCTAAATTAATTACAACCACAGGCTTTAATTAGAGAGAAAGTTCATAAAAGGGTTATTCATTTAAATACAATGACATAAATGACTAAGGCGTATTGTAAATAAAATTAATTCTTTTATAAATGTAATATTTTCGAAGCATGAATAATTATAATTGGAACCAGTTTTATATATCTTTGTTAGAGCGTTAATGTTATTGATTGCTTCACGGAGACAAGACACGTTTGTGTTCATTGTATTTTTTTAATTTCAATATTGAACCTTCAAACACAACTAACGTAGTCAGAGTAAAACGATAGCCCTGCATTCACGGTTTCATATCGTAATTATTGCAACACTAGAATAAGGTAAAACTAGTCTTAGTATAATCTTTATTATTTTCCACTCAAAATGAGTATAATTTTATTATACTTTCTGTCTGCTTACATACTTGGTGTATATAACGTAGTGAGTATTCAAAAATAATTAAATAATCCTAATTCTTTATAAAAATCATATTATTTAATATAATTATAACAATGATATAAAAGTATTGTATGAAATATTCCTCTCATAATGTTCGTGGGTTTATTTGCCAGTTCTTGGCATAGAATAACTGACTGGCGACAGCACAATAAATGTATGTCTTGATACCTTAACTTCTTATGTACCGTACGTATAACAGAAGATATTAATAAACTATACAACTACATATAATGAAAATGTATAGAATACTAGGTAACAAAACAAGTCGAAAACAACACCCTACTTACATTTTAATTGGCACTACTTGATACATTCTATTATGTATATATATAAAATAAAGGCAAGAAAACAATCAACATAAATAAAATTATTATTTCAACAATTTTCATGCTCGAATTGATTTAGTTTGTAAAATAATCATATGTTATTGATGCACAAAGCAAGTGTTGTAAATCAATTGAATTATATGCATTAAGAGAATAAGTGTTTGAAGAAACATAACATGTATAAGCTACTTCATTTTTTTTACTACTTCATTTAGCTACTACAAGCTACTTCATTTTTTCACTTCATTTCAAAAAATTTATTTAATTAGTCTTTTTATCGTAATAATGGTTTTTTGTTACATTAAATTATTCTAGAACTATGAAACTCAAGTTCTCTGCACTTCAAAAAAACTAGTCTAAAGAATGTTGTATGCATGTATGAATTAAAACGACTTCATTTAAAACATTTGATGTTAAAAAAATATATCGAAGCGTTAAAAGATTTAAATTCTATTTTGATTCTGTTTGATTACATTAAGAATGAGATTTACTGGTTCCGACTGAATATAAATTTCTTTAAGATGTATTAATGGAAAACTCCATCGGATATTCACCACGGTGTAATTTTACCGCAGCTGTGTTAAATTATAATTGGTATAATCCAGAACTGCTATAATTAATGATCTTATCGAGTCTCACACAAGCAATATATTAAAGTCTGACTACTTGTCTTGTTATCAAAACATGCAAAATAAACTTCAACTTGGGCCGAAATACCAATTAAACTAACAAGTACTTTCACTGTTGATAATGCCGGTTCAAGGTGAATATTCTTTCGAAATCAATAAAACTAATTTAATTAATACGAGTGAAAGATATTTAATTTAATAAATATTACTAAACAGATCAAGATAAATAAAATTATCTTATATGTATGATCTTAATGCTGTATTGAAATTTATAAAAGCATTCGTTACACTTGCTAATTGTCAGTCATAGCATTATTTCCTCGAATACAACGGAATGATTACCGTAACGAGGTCTATAACGGTTTTTTTTCTGAAATAAGGAGAGTTTAAGACATCAAGAATGAATAGGGCAGCTGAAGGTATACCTTAATTAAGAAGAATATCGACAAACCTACCAATGCAACAATTTAATTGGCGAAATCGTTCATATATTTCATAGCGACAATTTTACTTCATACTTTAATATTAAAAGGATTCGACAGCTTTCTCCCAAATCGTTACATGACCCACTAATAACAGTTTCACTGGGTGCATGTATTGACAGTGATGTGTTTCTAAACAATAATGATTGCCTGACCTGGAAATCTACAAAAATGTGGACTGCTATTAAACGTCAAACACGTGTCAAAATTATATATGTTTAATGAGCGTGAAAGCATTTATCTCTAATGAATACTCTGTCGACAACAATAGCACCGGCTGGCAGAAATAGTTCAGAGACGAAAAAAAGTAGTGACGTATAGGTATAGTATGACGAGGCGGACTAATTTTACTTGTACGTAGTGATTGTGTTAAAATATGAGTTGTAGAAGCGGGCGTCCCGGCAGACGTCTGACCGGGTGACTCACTCCGTCAAGCACGCGGCTGCGCCAACTATAAATAAAAGTAACTGCAACTGGCATTTAGACGTTCTCGATCTACGATCCCGAAACGTATACTAGTTTTATTGGAACTATACGACCTCATTCGAGTTTTGCAATTTAATCTATGAATCTTTAAATGGAACAACATTATACACAATATCCCATTTGTTACCGCGTCTTCGTCGTCGCTTTCTTTCTTTTAGTGGGCAATTAAAAGTATTACCAGTTTTTCATATGATATTAACTTTTTCTGGAGATTCATATTTCAACCAATATTAAATGGTGTATTACAAATATTAATTTAATTCTCAATTACATTATAGACATTTTTTTCTATATTTTTGACTAGTGATATCAAACCAATAAAATCAATATATAAAATTTTCATTTCGATATTTTCCATGTCTTTAAAAGCTAGAGCGAAAAAAGCTTTTTTTTGGATGCTAAAAGACTCACAGCACTTAAAACAGTAATAAAAAAAATATTTTGATAATTAGATTCAATATTAATGTTAACTTTAGCTTCATTTCCACAAAGTATTTTTTCAAAATCACCAAATAATTATTTAGCAAATAACAATATTGTTTACAGGTGGCTCACAACTCGTTCAGGTTTATTGAATACAAAATAAAGGTAAGTATTTGAATCTTATGCGAGCAAAGTCACGGTTAATATACATAATTTAAGACAAAAATAATATAATTACCATAGTTTTATAGTAAAATATGATATTTTACAACTAATTATTTAAGCATTTTAAGAGTTTAAAAATAAAAAACACCGAAGTCAGTTCGTTATTCACGTAGAAGAAAATTTACTAAAGGCGAGTAATTATCTTTGACCATTAACTTACAACGTTTTACGAAGCTAATTCTGTAGCCGGAGGGAACTTGGAACGAAGATTATAACTTAAAAGTTAGAGGCCTAATCAATCACAGATAGTCAGTGTTGATTGATTGATAAATAATTGCATAACAAAACAGAATACACATATATTATATGTGATATTTAATACAAATTACAAAAAGGTTTTAAACAAATAGGTTTTATATTTAGAATATATTGATATCTTTATACTAGCGAAGAAGTCGCTGTTCATAATATTAATATAGTATTTATACTGCAAGAGCACACGTTACTCCATTGAAAAATCAGTATATTTTTAACTAGCTACAATTAATTATTATAGAATTGATATTGCAATATATTTTTTTAAACTTGGGTCAAATATCTAAGAAATAAAACTAAAAACTTTTTTAATCAAGTAGTTTGCTGTAATAAGCACACTACTGTAGGCCTTTAACATTTTATTTATATATAAATAATATATTTTTAATAATACGAAGATCATATCTACAATGTACACTAATAAAATCACCACCAATTATATAGTAACCTTGAATAGATATTTATATTACAAAGCATTATATTGTCAAACGTTCAAATCACTCGACGCATTTACATATAAATCTCATTAAGTTCCATTCATCTGGGTTACAGATTGGTCAATTACACTCACAATTAGTACGCAATAAACCTTTAGTGACGACATTACAGATAAGTCATAATAAGCAAGTTAAAAAATCGCTATGGTTACACAATAACAAGTCATCTTAACCAATATATCTTAATTGTTATGTTAATATACAGAGTGTATCCAAAACCACATCCTAATATAACTGCTATAAATCAATTTCACTCGCCAGCTTTCGCTCTTATTGTTTATACTTTCTATTACATAGGCGGCGTAATTTATTATCGAATGGACGAATTCGGTTACTCAATAAAATATTCTCATACAATTATATTATGATTTTTTTAATACAGATTGATTAATAAATATAATTATGTAACGCTCTTGTTTAGAGTTAATGTTAGCAAGTTCAATGACCTCTTTTATATATATTTTTATGTATCAAATCGAAATTGAAAGTCATAATCCTTTGTCATTTGAAATTTAATAAAAGTGGAAATAGAAGATATGTGTGATCATAACTCATAGTTAGAAATGAAACATTCAGATTGAAATGCATATATTATTTTATTCTCAAAAAAAAAGATAATTTAAATTTAAATTCTAGAATCTAGATTTAAATAACCTGGAACATTTATTATCTATGTTGGACGGTTATCTTTACATTTTAATTCTATATAATTTATATATACTTGTGATATCTGTCGATAGTTATATTTCGCAACCTGAATATATAACCAGGTCAGATAGACCTATCGGATCGCACCCAGGTCCTATCAAAGTTTTTAGGTTTCTGAAACGCCCTTATTTACTTAATCTGGTTGTCTCCATACAATAAGGTCAGTATGACATGATGCTACTCTATCGTGACTTATCCGTTGCAAATTAATTTTTCCATATCTTGCTTTCTCTTATAACGGTGTAATATAATTACAGTCACACCTCTAATAAATCATGCACGCATTTTTGTTTACCTTCTGTTGTAGCGCAAATGTATTCAAAATACGGAAATGTAGTTATTAATTATAATAACATATTAATAATTATTTTCTTCTATTCAGATATTTCAAATAATATTTACAGTAAATCGGCTAGAGTAAAAAAACTGGGATGCACGTTAGTAGCAGAATTCAGAAAATTGCAAAATTGAGTTAATTTTTATGATCAAAATATAATACCACAAGTTCATAGACACAAATAACTAACAGACATTGTAAATAAATAAATTGATAAATCTTAGTAAATTTTTAATTATTGAAAAAAAATGTCTTCAAAATCTTTGAATTTTTTATTCCTATAATTTTTTTTCATTATTATTATTGTATTTCATGTTGAAAACTCTAGTTAGTCACGATATTATTATTTCTTAATATATATAACGTATAAATATTAGAAAAAAATGATCATGAAAATAAATTTACATTTTAAAGAATATAATATAATTTAAATACAATGATGTCAGGATTTGAGTTGGTTCAAAACAAGAAACATAAAAACCGCATCCAAGTAAGGGCATCAATATATTAGGTAAAAAGGGATAGAACTGTTATTTTCCTTTCATTGTTGTTATAATTATAGAACTCCGTTATTCCGAACAGGTTAATCCGGCCCAGTTACCGATGCTTATAAATAAAGTCCTTTATAAAGAACCGGAATCTCGTCTCGCTAGTTCACTGTAAATCTAAATCGCTTAATTGGAAGCGAAAATAAATCTAGATCGAATAGTTTTGCGGTGAAAAGCGGTGTATAAAGAGTGGACTGAGTCAAAATCTATATACACATCGCCCACTCAATATGTATCAATGTATATGTATAGTTACGTATTATTATTATGTGACAAATATACGTATGTTAGTACATTTTCTTCTTATTAATCACTGACTGGAATTGTCCTCCAACGAAAATAGTACGGTGCATATTTTTTTATAATTATATGACAAACGTAATCAGCTTTAGCATCCCCTTAGTTTATTATATAGAACAGTTTATTATATAGTAAATTTTTTCTATAGAACATTATCAGGCATAGAAAAAATACACTCTTATGAATTAACATTTATCTATTCACGGTGTCTTTTCTCACGGATCATTATTTTTTTACTATCCATATCCGATAACATTAAGCAATAGTATTACGAAACAAATGTAATAATATATAATATTTAAACTATCTTTTGGTAAATCACTAATATTTGAATTTCATATTGTTTTGAGATCACAACAAACACACGCGCTATCTTGTTTACCTAACGATTACTTCATGGTATTGTCAGGCAGTTTATTGACACAGAAAATTATCATTGAGACATCCACTTACTGATAAACTACGCCATTTGAAATACATTAGACTGTGACGAAACAAAGACTATAGTATTTACAATAAGGAAAAAATATCATACAAAATATTATCAATAAAGCTATACGTTTCACTATTACCAGCTATAAATCTCTCCTAATCATTGGCTTATGAATTTTAAATGTATTTAATTATACAGTTTTTAATTAATACTATCTACCGATGATCTATAATTACCGCGCTATTATATAACATGTGTCAGGATCGTGAAATAAATCAAGGAACTTTTTTCGGTCATTAAAAGTAATTGAATTCGACGTCTCGGCCAGAATTGTGCCACAAAAAATAGAATTAAGGCTGGTTTAATGAATCACCATCAAAGTAATATCAGCCGTCGGATCGAATAAAACAAAAAAAATAACTATAAGGACAGTGAGGTGCCGGTATCATTTGGGATGCTGGGAACGAAATGAAATGGAACTCACCGGATTTGCCGCAGCGTGAGCTACCAAGCACCACTACCCTCAGACGATTTACGGTCATCTTCATTAGTCTTTAACACTACACTTTCACCAAAATGTCATGAAAACGTATTGCTCGATATTTAGCGATCGTGTTGGCGCCAATTGGCTATTTAAATATAGTGAACGCACGCGCGCACAACACACCTGCTAGTGAGCGACTGCAGCGACAACGCAATTTAGCGCATAGCGCAATCGCAACATTCATTGGCTATCGAGTGAAAAGTTATTTAGCTAAATATGAATTACAATGCTCTCGATCTATCCACATATCAGCTGAACCATCAAGATAATAACTCATAGTAAATTACAGAGGCTCTAAAAAGTTCGTGTAGTTTATTTTGTTATTGCAAACAAATTGCCGTCTTAAGACTAATTAAGCCATAGACGTGCAAAAAGATTTAACAAAAACACCAATTGCCCATCTGTCAGTTTGTATATAAAAACACTAATCCCGATAAGAACTCAATTAGGTAAATTAAAATACAAATGTAATTTGTGACATGTTTGTCAGCAGACATTACGGTTAACATGAATAAGTGAACTTAATCCGATAGGAATCGGTGCCGGTCTTCAATAATGCCCGATTTGTAGATGACTAGCCGATAACATACTTTGATTGCGTGCGAATATTTTGGTGGATTTGTTTTTTGTTCAAATATATTTATACTTTGAGAGAATAATATAAAAAAATCTATAATATGTAAATATATTATTTTTTTTGTACCTATAATTCTAAAATACCTTAATTTACTTCATTATGTTTCTTATTTAGGCTTATATGCCTAATATGGTATTTGTTATCGGAATTTTAACAAGGTCCATACCGTTTGTCTATCGTCTATATTTTATCGTTGATTCCCCTTTGATAAAATATAACAAAAAATTGATTCAGAATCTCACAAAAAATACCCGACGTCCTCTTATAATATTCTTTTTTTTTTTTTGTTTTCTCAGATTTTCTCATTAAAATATTTTGAGAATTAAATAACTTTGTTTTTTATGTAACCTAAAGCATAAATGTAAGTTCAAAAGTTTAAACTATTTTAAATTTTTATATCTTGTTAGATATATGTTACATAAATCGTATCGAGTACAATGGATCTAGAAGTGTTATAATTACGTTTAAAATATACAATTTAAATGACCAATATTGAAGAGATTATATATTAATATAAGTATAAAGGTCATCTTATTTATAAGGGAGTGAATAAAACATGTTATAATATATTAAAGGCTTTAAAAACTGTATGTATCATGCGGGACAACACCTGCGGAGATTGTAAGTCTTCATTGCGGTTTGAAACCCTTGGTGCCCTAATCGGACACTCGACTTATAGTCCAACTCACTCGTATTGGTCAGATTCTTAATCATATATATTCATTTGTTTCATTGCATACGGGGAAATTTATGTAGAGTAAACCAGATAAGATTATGCTTGATAGTTTCTATAAGTTTAAAAAATAAATAAAATATTTATAATATAATGAGTCTATTATTTTCTAGACAAAGCGTTTAATATACACGATAGCCCAAAACCTTGAGATTATTATAGTCCAAAAAACATACCAGATGAATAATATTCTCTTTATTATAAGATTGTAAGTGTCGAATTTAAAACAGTTGTACTGTAAGGTAAGTTTATTGTTCATCCGCAAGTGACGCGTCTCGCTGGCTACTGTTACAAAGTCAGGGGGAATGTTTTTCGGTAGCCGATATAAATAAACAATGACTTTATACAAAAGGAAGTCGGATCATGTTACGTATTACAGGAACTTTCACATTTTTTATATTTATTGCTATAAAAATAATATATATCATATTTTTTATAAATGTATCCACTGTCCAATGTTTATACAATAGACGAAATATATATGAAATGAAAGTTTAAGCCTGATATCATAGGAATTAAATCACGCAACTGACTGTAAGATAACTTGTTATCATATAGGTAGTAAATTTATTTATGGTAACGTCTATGTAGGGATGTACATACATACTTATTATTCTATAGTCTAGCTGTAATTTATACTATGAATCTTGTATTAAGACTGTATCCATCAGAAAAAATCACTTACAATAGAATTATATAGTAGCTTTTGCAGCCATACTTCATTTTATAAGTAATACTTCCGAAAACCCTAACAGACTTTCTCTTTCAAGCCTATCCATAATTACTTTGCATATTCATAATAAATATAATGAATAAATTTAATTTGTGATAATTTATTAATGAGAACACTGGTGTTAACCAAATTTGTTTGTAAAATTTTTTGAAACAGTTTTTGTTTAATATGAATTGACAAAGAACCTTTGTATTAAATATGGTTCTGTTAAACATTAGACAGCATCTACTTGGATTTCTAATCAGTTTATAATATCTGTGGGATTTGTTTGAAATGGTCAAACCTAAAGCAGGAATCTTTCGTTGTTATTGTGTTTTACAAAAGTTACAAAAGTAACTATATAACAAGAACTAAAAATCACATATCTTCTTATAGTTATATTAAATAAATTAAATAATTTTCACACCTCGCCAACAAATTAAGTCCTACAAGATATCAAAGCTGACCGAATAGAAAGTAAAAACTTTTTTTTCCTTAATTACCTTACATTAAGGTTGCAAAAAAAGATATTTTAAAAGTAGTCCTTTAAGATTGACTTGTCCTAATTTTACTTTCGCGTTTTTTAGCGAGCGGGTCATCATGTATGCGTTTACAACCATCACTCAATCTTGAACTTAATCTACATGTAATTAGGATGACATTATAACAGATGAAGAAATATAATTTATATAAAAAAATCTTTTTTTATAAAGAACAACTTAATTGAAAAATATTTCAAGTTACCTACTATTAGTTGTCATATGTATATTAATCAATTTAGTAAAAGTTACTGAGTCGCCTTATATGTTTTTTCACTACAGTCCTATATGTACAAAGAAATACTTTTTCATCCGGCTACTACTAATCTCAGAAGTATTAGAAAATTCAAGATTAAAAATTAAATAATAGAAAAAAATGGTCATAGAATCTCTGTCCGTCTCGAAATGTCTCAATAAGATTTAAAAAATATATTTTTAAACATATGGTAGTAATAATTATTAAAAAAAAGCTATATTTTTAATGGTTATGTTTTATGACCGAATTAAAAGTTTAATGTATTAATATTTTTATACTTATTAATAAATTTAAACATTATATACAATCAATGTCAATTATACACGCCGCCGTCGCCGCACGCGTCCACACTTGGAACACTTGGAACGTGTCCACACTTAATTTATTTATACGGAAATTTTGTCAAAAATTAAGTGCCTATTTTTTTTTTACATAATTCGAATGAGAATCATGTACCAAGTATTCTCCTTAAATATTGATAGTACCTCACCAGTCACCCTGTATATACCTTAATAATTATTTTCTCACTGTGCATTATACATAGTCCCTAACATTTTTTTTTAATTTCTTCATATTTAAGTAACACATGTTATATACTTATGACTTTATTCTATGTATAAATTAAATTAAACATGTGTTATTTAAATTATTAACACTGCTATTGATTAAGAGGGTCAACCTTAGCAGCAACTATTAATAGCAATACTACTACCAATTATATGAAGCATGGCTCGAAACAGACAGACTACAAGAATATTTGGTATTCGTATATATTAATTTTATTTATAAGGTATTTTTATTAGCATTGGCATTGGAAAAAGCTTATTTGCGCTTAAATTTCGTACAAAATAATATAAATTATTTGATAACGTTTACTTAAATCAAATAAAATCAGAATAACAGATTTTTTTTTTACATGTATCACTATTTTAAAATATAAACCAGGCACTTTACATACTTACACTGATATCTCATTTAATAAAAATTTTCAATCCAATATTGAACGTAAAATGAAGGTCAATAAAATATTATTTTACCTTATAGCATAAAAAACACGATCTTCACAAATAAAATACTGAATTGCGAAATTCACTTTATATAGAATATTATAGCCATATTTCAATGAGTTAAATTTATCCATCAAAAACATATGTTTTATGTAATTCAGGTATTTTATGACATATATCAAAATTTGACTATTTTGAGTGACTGGTTCATAATTAAGTATACGTCACCTAATACGGCATAAACAAATTTAAATAAAAATAGTCTTAACTCGCAGTGTTATAAAAGTTTGTATTTTTTAATTGTCATCAATTGATTTACCTCTTAATATTGAATTCAAAAATAACTTTAAAGGAATGTTGATTGTTGAAAGTCGAACTAATATGAAAATCAACAAAACAGGCAACTATGCCAGGACAAAATCTGATATATCTTAATAATGTAAGAAAACGCCTTGAAAAATCACCTTGTAGCATCTTTTTATTTGTATAAAGAACTCACTCCAATCGGTTATATAGGAAAATCTAAGAAACCAAATAATCTTCTATATATATAAAAATGGATTGCTGTTCCTTAGTCTCATTAAAACTCGAGAACAGCTGAACGGATTTATCTTATCTTAGTCTTAAAATGCTCGTGGACGTTCAAGAAAGGTATAAAAGGTGAAAAAAATTGATTCATTACTGGGAAAACCATAAAAACAGCCCTTTTCTATTTCCCATACAAACATTTTTTTTGACATTAGATTTGACAACTAACTAATATGTCAATCATTCTGTCGCACTTCAAAACACTGAGATTTATGGCTTACAGGTAAACTCCAAAAATATAAATAAAAAAACGTAACAGATATTTCTTGATTACAGGGCGATACAAAGTTCGCCAGGTCTTCTAGTAATGATATAAAACAAAGTAATACCAATGCTAAACTATTGTCAATCAAAAATAAAAATTGACAAGTTACATTATACATTACATAACGAAGTGGTCATTGATAAAATGCCTTCTTTGTTGCTCACTAACATCATGCGTCATAGTACGCCACTTATTCACCATTCACGTCATACAATAAAACCGATAGAAGAAATAAGTTTCATAATAGTTCAACAACAAAGATTTTCA